TTCAGGGGTTTAGGGTTTTAGGAGTTTAGGGGGGCTTGTAGAGAGCGTTTATCAGGTTGTCTTTGGAAGTAGGGTTTTCAGTGGTTTTCTGTGGTTTTGATTGGGGTCTTTGGAGTTTCTCTGTTGTTTTAAATAGGTTTTCCACTGATTCTAGCGGTTTGAAATTGGGCTTTGATAGGTGGTTTAGCTTCTTACAACCCTAAACCCTAAACCCAAAACCCTGAACCCTAAACCCTTGGGTGTTTACAGGTCTTGAGCAGATTTTAAACCCCAAGCCCCTAAGTCCCAAACCCCTAAACCCCTAAAACCCCAACCCTAAACCCCTAAACCCTAAACCCTAAACCCGAAACCCGAAACCCCAAACCCTCAATCCTAAACCCTAAAACCTAAACCCAAAACCCTAAACCCTAGACCCCAAAACCCGCAAACCCTTCAAACCTTTGCCGAAGCTCAAGAGAAAGCCTCAGCTCGGAAGCCCGAATCCTGATAATTCTAAGGTTTAGGGTTTAGGGGTTTAGGGGTTTAGGGTTCAGGGTTCCTAGGCCGTAACGCTAAAGTCGCGTCAGCGGCAAACGGGGTCCGAATGACTACGAATCATGTCCCCTGTGCCCTTGTCGTCGTTTTATATTGTATTATTAGCCCAAATTCTGGCCCCAAACCCAGCAAAGTAGCCCTTAAGTATGCGGCCTGGCCCTTAGAGCAGTAAGGTTGTCGGATGCACCGAACAGCCCGAGCCGAGTGATTCCCTGTTCTGGTGACTTTGTGATCGTTGCCCGCAAGGGCTCTTCCAGGGCTCCCGTGAAGCCCTAAACCTCTTAACCCCTAAACCCTGAACCCCCCACATCCATACAACCTAGCGTGAGGGCTTGAACAAGTAGTATGTGTTTTTTTAAGACGGTCTGCAACTGGTGCTGCAGCATCAGACACCCGCCCTGTCCTTGGACCTGCCTGAACTTGAGCACGGCGGGTTGCCAGCTTTCAGCTTGGGATACTTCAAAGGCTATGCCCGGGCCACAAGCCTCCTTTGCTTGCTGCATTTCATGATGAAGCGAGGTGTGATTGTGGTGATGGAGTACCCAATGTTCTGGGACTCCGTGCTTCGCATTCGTGTGCATCATGTGAAGACTCAGAGTCGCATGAGTGAGGCTTTGACGAACATGAAGATGTCGTGCAAAGGCTCCGTCCGCAAGGCCACGAACACTGTGCAGTGCGTCGTTATGCTGAAGTCCCTCATGACGGTCGGTGTGTCAGACCCGATGGCCTTCGTGAAGCAATGGAACGCCATGTCGGCAAGAAGCTTCCACATCAGCGGGAAACGGCAGGTGACCCTCAAGCTTCTCCTTGAGATTGCACCCAAGGCCGGGCCATAGTTAACTCGGATCTTTTAATTGCCTTAAAAAAGCAATCCTTCCGCTCGGCGGCGGTGCTGGAGGACATTCTCCACCACGTGCAGAGCCTTGGCTGGGAGAACTCTGTCTGGTCGGACGACAACTTGTCGACGAAGAAGCTGTACCCGAAGTTCCTCCAGTTCGCAGCCCGCTGCAAGGCCTGGCAGCAAAGACTGCGCACTTCGGAGGAGTCCATGGCTCTGGCAGTCCGCAGATTGCAGCAATGCCACCTTCGCCTGCCCGAGTACCAGCGGAAGAAGCCAGACACCCATGGAACCCTGACGGTACATAACGGAACCCTTAAAGGAACCGTGCAAAGGGACCCTTGAAGGAACCCTTAAACCCCTAAAGCCCTAAACTCGAAGCCCAAAACCCTAAACTGTAAACCCGGAAGCCCTAAACCCTAAACCCCGAAGCCCTAAACCCTAAACCCTAAACCTTTAAGGAACCTCTTTGAGGAACCCCGCCCCTAAGTTACCCAAGGGCCCTGTGGCCGGCGGAGGCCTCTCCCTTGGTGAGTATACGGCACTCTGTGCTGCCGGTGTCTTCAGCTTCGAAGAAGGTGCTCAGTCTCGGGCTGTCGGGTTTAAGGTTTAGGGTTTAGGTTCAGTTTCGAAGAAGGTGCTCAGCGTTGCCTACATAAGATCGTGTGTGTCACACAGGGGCTTCAGTTTTTTGGTTTTGGTCTTTGTTTGGGTTTCATCGGAGATCGGTAGGTGTTTTACAGGAGTACTAGCATTCCCTTCGAGTCCCCGTATGATTACAGTACCTTACACCCCGGACACCTTTTTTGAACCATAAAGGTCCCTATATTAAGTCTTCGGCGTTTGATCGTTTGCGCGCTTTCGGTGCAGGGAGTTTTGGGGCAAAAGCCAATTTTCACCCTACAAAAGGTCATGTGGAAGAATACTGGACGTGAGGTCTAAACCTGTTCTGTCTTTGTCTCACTCGTATCAGACTCGTTGTAGACCCTAAGCCCCTTAAGCCCTAAAGCTTAAACCCTAGACCCTAAACCCAAAACCCTCAACCCTAAACTCTAAACCCTAGACCCCTAAATCCTAAACCGTAAACCCCCCTGAGCCCATAAAGCCTAAACCCTAAACCCCAAACCCGTGGCCAATGCCTGCTGGACAAAGGGGCGTA